CCTTCTTCCTCATCTGTCTCCCTCTGGGCTGGATGCTGTGTTGTGCTGCCTCATTCAGGAATAAATTACTTATTTCCCCAGCTTCTGGGACTACTCCCAGAAGATGGGTATCTACTGTTTGCCCTCTTTGGGGATTGCCTTGGTTGAAAAAAACAGCCTTACTAAGGCCATGCTTTCTTCCAGGGACAGCACACCTCTGATAGAGGTATAAAGGTCTGATCACCTTGGTCCAACTTGGGAAAACTGAGAAAGGACATCTCAGCTCTAGAGCTTCCTACAGGGTTGCTTTTATTAGAACTGCATCACAATTCAGCTGCTCTCTTTGCCAAATCCTAATTCCTTCTCCCTTCCAGGGTTTGTTCTGAAAGGTACTACCTAACACTTAACTTCTCAGAGTCTGGTTCTCAAGTGACCCAAGCTGGGACTCCAAGCCTCCCACTCTTCTTCCCATTCTCTCTCTGCCCTTCCTTTTAATTTATTTGACTCTGTTGGGTCTTAGATGCAGCATACGGGATCTTTATTGCATCCTGCAGGACCTTCCATTGGGCACACGGACTCTCTAGTTGTGGCACGGGGGCTCCAGAGTGCTTGAGCTCAGTGATTGCAGCCCACGGGCTTAGTTGCTCAAAGTGGCATGTGGGATCTTAGTTCTCCAACCAGGGATTGAACCTGTGTTTCCTGCATTGCAAGGCAGATTCCTCACCACTGGACCACTAGGAAAGTCCCCTCCCTCCCGTTCTACTCTCCGCTTTTCCCTTTCCCTTTTGTTACCCCTTCTCTCTCTTCTTCCCTTCTTTTTCCTCTCCCTCCCTCTCTCCTTCAGACTGTGTAGGTCTCACCCCTGCTTCTTTCTGTGCTTCAGCTTCATTCTCTTCTCCTCTGCTCTTCTGGTTTGTAGACCCCCGTGGCTGCTCCAAACTGGAGAGGTGCCTCAGACACCATCATTGTAGCATATGCTTTTGGTTATCCACCCAGATGCCGTTTGCTAGGTTGGTGAACTCATCCTGCGGCATGGCTGCTCACATTGGTTCCTGTCTCTGGAAGGTTGCCCTTAGCCAACTAGAACCTTCTCAGCTGGAGATGCCTGCGAGGTTATGCCCCACATTCTTTGGTCACCGATCATCAGATGGGGGATATAAATGTCCACCCTCCTTGCTTCAAGGCAGAACACACGCTGTAGTACAATTCATTCCTGCTTTAGAGATTCCCCTTGGATTCAGGCTGAAGCTAGACTTCTCCTGAAAGTACATCTTTACATCTTCCCCGTTCCGTGCTCCTCCCTGTCCCTTACTTACCTAAGAGCACTCCTTCAGTAAATCCCGCTGCTTCAAGGGAACATGATTTAAGATCATCCCCTTACAGGTGTTGTGCCTGGGACCAATTGACTCAGATTCTGCTGCTCTAGTTCCAAATATCCAGGAAGAAGGATGGATTGGCTCAGGCTGAGCCAGCCCAGCTTCTTAGATTGGGGTTTAGGTGTTCAGTCATTTACGGCTGGGTATAAATGACCCAGTTGCATAATACAGGGCAGATGAGGGGTACAGAGAGAGAGGGCAACTCTCAGAAAAGTCGATTTCTGCAAGAATGGACCTGACCACATGTCCTCCTTCTCAGTCTTTCTTGAATTTATCATCTCAGTCAGCCTCCTCATTCCTCACCTCTCTCCCCATCTGCAACCCCAGGTTCCAATCAGAGGGTTCGATTTTGAAAGGTAGCACCATGTAATGGAGAAAGGACTGGGCTGAGTGTCAGGAGGCCTGGGTTGTAACTTGCTTCACATCTGTGGGTCTCAGTTTCGAGGTAAATTAGACAGTTTGTTTGCTGACTTAAATAGTCAATGCCTCTATTAAAGCAAATGGCCAGAATCTAGATCCAAAATCTCTGCATCTCTGAAGTCAGCAGAGTGCCTGGCACAGAGTCTGAACACCGTTAACATATAGAAAACATGAGGTAGCCTTTAGAAATGAAATGACAGTGAATTACATCAAGGCAATAAGGTAGAACATGACCCCAAAGCATACAATATTCTGGGTGTGGGGCCCACTAGTAATAACTGGTACTTGCATGCTCAGTTGCTTCAGTCGTGTCCGACTCTTTGCAACTCTGTGGACTGTAGCCTGCCAGGTTCCTCTGTCCAGGAGATTTCCCAGGCAAGAATACTGGAATGGGTTGCCATTTCCTGTTCCAGGGAATTTTCCCAACCCAGGGATTGAACCCTCGTCTCCCGCGTCTCCTGCATTGCAGGTGGATTCGTTACCACTTTGTGCTGTTCTCTGCTAAGCACGCCATGTGCTATTCTGATTATTGCTGTTAAAAAGTCACCCCAAAACTTGGCCTTTTAAAATAATGATTTTATTATGCTTATAGATACTGTGGATCAGGAATTTGGACAGGGCATCTTAGGAATGGCTTGTCTCTGCTCCATGATTTCTGGATCTTCAGTTGGGAATATTTGCCAGTCTGTGGTGACTTGACAGCTGAGAGCTGAAATCATCTGGAGGCATCTTCGCTCACAAAAATGGTGGCTGATGTGGCGGTTGGCTGAGACCTCATCTGGGGCTGTTGTCCAAAGCTTGGGCTTCCTCAGAGTGGTGGCTTGGGCTAATAATAGCACTTTGTATGCAGCAGCTCAGGCCTCCAAAAGAGATCCTCCCAGTTTCACAAGGCAGAAGCTTCATTGTTTTTATGACTTCACTTCAAAAGTCAAACTGCATCATTTCCACTACATTTTATCAGTCACCAGGCCATCCAGATGGAAGGATCAAGAAATTAGGCATCATGTCTTGATGGGGTTAGAGCAAGGTTCTCATAGAGCATGTAAGATGGGAAATATCGTTGTGGCCATATTTGTAAAATTCAATTCACCATGTGTGCCTTGTTTCATTTAATCCTTCTGTTGTCCTTGGAGTAGGCATCGTTGTCCTTACAGATGAAGAAACTAAGGCTCAGCAAGGTCATGTAACTTGCCTGTGGACAAAGCCAGTACATGACAGGACAGGACTTAAACCCAATCTGTATCAAGCAGGTGTTCTCTAACAGAGGTGCATGCTAAGTTGCTTCAGTTGTGTCCAACTCTTTGCAACACCATGGACTGTAGCCTGCCAGGCTCCTCTATCCATGGGATTCTCTAGGCAAAAATACTGGAGTGGGTTGGCATGCCCTCCCCAGTGAATCTTCCTGACTCAGGGATCGAATCTGCGAGTCTTAAGTCTCCTGCACTGACAGGCATGTTCTTTACCACAAGCACCACCAGGGAAGCCCCCCTCTAACACACATGTGCTACTTATTGGACAAAGGAACTAAGAAAGTCAGACATTCAAAGGCCAGGTCTCCCTATGTGCAGGATTGGGAGTGGGTGAGTCTTCTTGTCCCCCCATAACCCTGATGTCAGAGTTGATATCTTCCCCATGTGGTAAAGGAATCTGGTTCCTCTGCATAGCTCCCCAAGGTGTTGCTTCCCAGAGACTATGTAACTATTATGTGTACCTTTAATGCCTCAAGTTTGCCAGATACATGCTGCCAGAGTTGCTGTCTGTCCCACCTGCCCCCCTAGTCATTCAGCAAAAGAGTCTGAGTAACAGTAAGCCTGAGGAAGCTCTGATCCCCTCCATGAAGGCAGCACACAGAACCAAATCATGCCAAGAATATCTCCTCTGCCCTGATTCCCTTTTGAAATCATCTCTTCCCTTTATGTTCGAACAAGGACCACTTCTTCCAGGAACTCATCTTGGACACTCCTATGATACTTAAAATCAGAATGTTTAGGTGACATTTGGCACTCACAGCTTATTCTGTAGTTTTTTGTGTCCTAATCACCCTGTTAGTCTTCTAAGGCCCCACAGGTCAAGGACTATGCTCTGTTCCTGTTTTCCTCCCCAAACCACAGAAAAGATACCCCATTAGTAGGTACTCAGTAAATATGACTGATTAGATCAAAGGGCCTTGTGAAGTTTATTTTTAAGTTTATAAAATGTGCATCTTCAAAAGTAGTTTTTGAGAACCTACTCTATCAAAGGCATTGTGCTAGGTGCTGACATACCATGTGATCCAGGAGCAGGAATTTAGAAAGTCAGATCTGAGCCTTGTGGGCACTCAGCAGTATGTCAGTAACATGTCAGAACTGATGTCTAGAAGCAAAGCATCCTTGGTCAGATTGAGGCCTTCGTATTGGATACATCTGATGCAAGTGCTGTAAGGTTAAAATCTCTTGTCAGCTGTCAGATGATTTGAGAGTCAGACATTTAGAAGTCCCTGAAGAAGGCTTTAAAAATCCAAGATCTCGAATTTAGCTTCTATAAATTCCCCAAATGATGTTTTTAGCTGGAGCTATCACATAGGAAAGGATGGGCCTAACTGTCTAATTAGCCATCTTGTAACAGGCAAGTTTCTCTACTCTTCTTCCATTTGTCACTATTTCACCCCAAAGTGTTCCCCAAAACCATGCCCTTTAGAAACACCTTTGAATATTCAAACTCAGCTGATCAACCTGATAATAAATGATAGGCAATCAATATGAATGTTCATCTTCACTCATTATTTACTACATAAATTCTCAACCCAAATATAACCCCATTGTATAAAACTCTTTACTCAACATACTATTACCAAGAATAAAATAACTCCTGTGAATAATTACCTTTGGGATATGAAAGAAAATGTAAACATTTTATTTGGCAGTTGTTTCTGAACACATGAATAAATAAATGGAAAAGTACATATTCATATTTCTTTTTGGAGTAACAGATACCATTAAACGCTTATTTACACATCTTCACTGCAAAGAACAGTTACACAATTCAGTTTGTCTTATAAAAGGTAACTTCCCACACCACTGGACTGGACAGGTAAAGATGGAGATATGGGTAGTGCTTGGTTCTAGCAGTCTCAATGTTTGAAAGGCATTCATTTGCAAGTGTGAAAAGAAGAGTCGTCATGCATTTGAGTTCATCCGGATCACGCACTGTAGAAAGTTACTGATGGCAGCCACAGAATTTGGTGTGTCATGCGCTTAAGTCAACTATGACATGTTTGTAAATCTGTGTGTTTCCCTTAAAACTGGAAGCAAAAAGAAAATTGCGTTTATTAATGGACACATGCGTGAATGATCTTGGTGCCTGAACATTTAATTCCTGAAATTTCACAAATTTGGCTTTCTCTGCATCCCAGTTATACACTTGAGTAAAGGAATAATCACTTCCAAGAATTGCATATTGGTAGTTATTTATCTGAAGAGGCTGGAACACCATGGATCCTCGTGATGGCATCCTCTGAATATCCTGAAATGAGGACCCTCCCCATTTCATTACTTTGGAATCACCAATGAATCTTGTCAAGCAGATGTACACATCGCCTTTCACTGAGAAGTGCTTAACGGCATATACATCCTCCATGTTGGGGATGTCAGTTTGGTTAGTGAATAATTGTATTGCTTTGTTCCACTGGTAAATGACAGGACGCTGGGAACTGCTGGACAGTATTAAATGAGGTGTTCTGAGAGTCTGAGGTGTTCTGGCTATTTCTAGATATTCCACATCAGTATCCCTGTACCATGCATGTAAAGATTGATGGGAGTAGAAACCATTTCCGTTCCACTTATAAATGGTAGTGAAACCAGCTTTTGAACTGTCAGCAACAACGAAGTACCAGTTGTTTTCAATCTTGAATGTTTCAATGTCATTGGGTTTTCGGATTTTGAGGATTTCAATATCCTGGATTTTTATGAATTTATTTGCAAAACTGTCTCGCTTATAGATGTGAGAGCCGCCAAACAGCTGGGCCACAATGACATAGAGCTGAGTTTCAATGACTATAGGCTTGCACACTACAGTGGACGTGCCTGGGAAAGACAAATGAGAGATTAGGAGGATGGCCATCCTTCTCTTGGAGCATGTTAATACACAGGCTGAAACCATGCAGCTGCCATCAAAATCTTGTTTCAGCCTGAAATAAGAGATTTCTTTGTTTGATTAGGCAAAGCCTAAAAAGCACAAGACTGTGCCTTTTTGCCTCATGGAGCCTTGTTACCAACAGTAGAGTTGTCTTGTCACATCCAATGTGTAGTAGACATTCAGGACACATGGCTACAGCCTGAGTTTTCCCGCTCACTTCTTCTTCATTGTCTTTAATTTAAAAAAAAAATTTTTTTTGGCTGTACCATGTGGCACGTGGGAGCTTAGTTCCCCAACCAGGGATTGAACCTGCGCCCCCTTCATTGGAAGTGCAGAGTCTTAACCACTGAACTGCCAGTGGAAGACCCTGGAAGATGGCCACGGAAGTCCCTCTTCTTTGTCTTTTTTTTTTTTTTTTTGGCCAAGCCACACATGGATCTAGTTCCCTCAACCAGAAATTGAACAGGGAAAGCAGTGAGTACTAACTACTGGACCATCAAGGAGCTCCCTCTCCTCTCACTTCTTATAGAAAAGAATCATTGCTTTCCCTGATGTATCAATGAGTTAGTCACAGTAATTCTAGTGGAAACTGCCATTTATTGAGCACCTACTTTATGCTTTGCCAGATCATCTCATTAAATTTCCCACCAATCTTAAGAGATAACTATTATTATTACCCTTCCTTTTGCAGGTGAGCAGGCTGAAAGTCAGAGAGGTTCGATGCTGCTAGAAGGCAAAGTTGGGATTCAAGCCCAAGGCTACCAGTGTCCCTATGCTTTTAACTTAACCCAGGGCGAGGAGTTAGCTGTATTGGGGCTTCCAACTTGGGCTTGGATTCCACAAGGTCCTAGGACAACCTCACCAAGTCTTGAGCAGTGGTCTGGGTAGCCCACAGCTCTATCTTCAATTGCTGTGTTCTCTGTAATGAATGGTTTCTAGCTCTAGAATCCACCAACTTTCCCTTAAGAAAAGAGAGATGTCACTCGGGATTTTTCTGAAGCTTTAGGTCACTAGTAGCAAAAGAGAAGAAGGAAGAATCCTTAAGAAAAGTGAAAGAGGGGTACAGTCATGGGCGATGCTCCTGAAAGTTACTTTGGGAAATCTCAGAAAACTACATGGGGGTCTGTCAGAAGCCTAGCTCAGTATCCTTTGTTAAGAGTTTATGTTATCAATAGATTCTGATCTTCTAGAGGGAGGTTGGTTCTCTGAAACCCAAAGAGAGCAAGGCAAATCTAGCCCCAGGCTTTTTCTAACTGCAGCTCTAAGGGCTTTGAGGTAGTAAGTTCCACAATGACTCTTTCTATTAATTGACTGCATGCATAGACAAAATTATTCTATTTATGACCCTTTTCAAGACTCAGCTGATTCTGTGACCTTAAGAAAATCTCTTCTCTGGGATTCAGTTTTCCCTTCTATACAGTGAAAGTTGGAACTAGATTAGAGATGGCTACTAGTTTTCAATCATGTACCAATATTGATTGATTGATTGGGACTGCCTGGAGAACTGTATTAAGAAGGATTCTGTCCTCTGCAAGAAAGAACATCATGATAGATTAACAGTGTCTATATGGGGTGAGGGAGGGGATAGTGACTGCATATATGACATATATTCATCATCCTGGACTAGATGATGTCATCTGGAAGTCTGCAAATATATGATTCATTTTTCTTTCAAGCGTTCATCTAAAGATTCATTCATAGCAATTGAGAGACTGTACGCATGTAAGAAAGAAGAAGCTGGTTTAGATTGCACAAAGACCTGCTGCAATCCACTGGAGAACTGAGGGGGCTTCAGGAGAAAGGGAAGAATAGCCTTCCTCCTTGAGAAGGAAAGAGGATTCTAGGAGGGTCTCAGTTTGGAGGGGATTCAGTTATCTGGGCACCTCCGTCTTAGGTAAGACCAAAACTTGTCCTGATCCTTTGAGCAATAGGGTTGATGACTGCCAACAAAATCTAGTTATAACCATCCCAGCCTTGTCAAGTGGGTGACCTTCTATGGGAATGTGGGAGTGCTCTCAGAAGCAAGTTTAAGGGTGTTAGAAGCTAACGCTGATGTGAAGGTGATTTCAGAGGAAGCCTCGTTCTAATTTATGACTTAACACTTAAAAGTTTTTGAAATGAGGAAGAAACTTAAGAGGTGACCTAAGTAAAAGTTTTCATGGAAAAAAAAAAAACTTCCATCTTCAAATTAAATGCAAAAAATACTAGAAAGAGGTTTGTGTCCTCACTGCAGGATTTCTCAGAGCCTCTAATGTGTGTTATTATGAATCTCCAAGAGGGAGATATGGGTCCCAAATTTACTGGACCATAAAACCCTTATGTCACAAGTCATACATAGACATTTTGCAGAAGTAATGTTTTTGCAATAAAATTTGAGATTCATCGATCTAAAATAAACTCATTCTGTAGTTAAAAAAAATGGACCCAGTGAGAGTGTGGCTTAACTAGTTTGTTTGTGGCAGAACCTAGATAGAACTCATAATTCTTAGTCCAGTACTTTTTCTCTCAAGAAAAATAACCCACTTTTTATTGCATATTTACTAAGATAGGTCCTATGCTAAGTTTCTTGAACATGTGCTCTCATTATTTTATAAGAGCCCTGCAAGTTAGATATTAGTATTACCATTTTACAACTGAGGAAATTAAGCTTTAGGGAACAATCTCAAATGGTAGATTTAGGATTCAAATGATTCTAAACCTGGTAGCTCAATTGGTAAAGAACTGCCTACTGTTCTAGAGACCCAGGTTTGATCCCTAGATTGGGAAGATCTCCTGCAGAAGTAAATGGCAACCCACACCAGTATTCTTGCTTGGAAAATCCTATGGACAGAGGAGCCTGGTGGGCTACAGTCCATGGGGTCGCAGGAGTTGGACACGATTTAGTGACTAAACTACAAACTTGCCGAAAGCATTCCCTGATATCATTCATCTTTTCTTTTTGCCCTTGACCCAAGCAGTTTAACTTTCCATTCAAAATACAGTCAGCCTTTTCATACCTGTGATGTTGTCATAATTCCGGAAGGTCTTTTCTACATGGTCCCATTCAAGGAAAATGCACTTTCCAGTAAAAGGCTGAGCGATGACGACATACTCATCGTTCATATAAGAAAAAGTATCTATGGACAGTGATTGATAAGGCAGGTCTTGAGACTTTGCAAACTCTGCAAAAATTGAAAATGATGATTAGTAGCTGTGCTAATGCCTCATTTGTTGGCTAGATCTAAAATGTCCATAAGAAATACATTTATTCTAGAGAAACAGTAAAATGGTCATTTTACTTTGCTTTTAAACACATGAAGTTTTAATCGTTCATAATATCTTTAAATTGCTCAGTTGGTTTTTAATGTATAAAAAAATATCAGTTCCTGCATATGTAAAAAAAAAAATGTAACCCTTAGTTTAATTTTATGAGATGGGATAATTTGGAATACATTACCTGTAATGATGCAATCAAAATCCTTAGAGGAAAGACTATTGATTTTGCGCTTCTTGTATTCTGGAGGGCCTTCACAATAGATGTCTTCGACAGTTGCATTGGTGTGGCTTAGCCATTCCACCAGCCACTTCAGTTTACAGTCACAATTAAATGAATTACCTCTCAGGTCACTGAAAGACAAACTTCAGCTGCTTTTGATATACAAGGGTCCTTCCTTCACAGGCATGACTCTTACCATAGCAATTACATGAGCAGGATGCCCTCACCTGGTTTTATATCATGCCTCATAATCTACCTTGAACCTGTCTGATCATTCACTTTGGGCTCAGAGAGGACCACAGTGCACCCTTGCAAGCCACCCCAGTCAATGGAACCTCATAACTTAACTCCCTCTTGGATTCAAAGGTAGTTCAGTCTAGAGCTGTGCTGTCCATAGGAATACAATGTGAACCATATATGTAGTTTAAAAATTTTCTATAGACACATTAAAAAAGTAAAAAGAAACAGATGAAATTATTTTTAATATCATATGTTATGTAACCCAAAACATACAGAATTTTATCATTTTGACATATAGTAATATGAAAATTACTTATGAGATATTTTGCATGCTTTTTCTATACTAAGTCTCTGTGGAGTCCAATGTGTATTTTATGCTTACAGTGTATCTCAATTTGGATAATAAAATTTCAGCAGAAGTTCCTGATTTGTGTTTAGATTTAATAAAATTCACAGTTGAAAAAAAAAAGATTCATACACCCAATTTGTTCCAAGCATACTTAAAAGTTTTCCAATAACTGAACAGAAAAATTAGTTCTTAAATTTAGTTTTTTATTTGATTTTTTTTAAAAAAACTAAGTAAAATTTAAAGTTCAGGTTCTCAGTCACACTAGGAACACATTTTAAGTGTTCTGTGATCACATGTGCGGCTACCATATTGGGCAACATGGGTTCTAAAACACAGAATGTAGTGACTGTTGGGCCATATTTAATTAAATCAAGTGAGCTATTTGCTTTTCTTCTTCCTCACAGATGTAATTAATCCTGATCCTATTCCATGGTCTTCAAATTCAATTTTAATAGGAAATGACTTCGATACAGCTGAGTTAATGCAGACATACAATAGCTCATGCCCATAATAAACTGCACAGCACAGATAGTTTAAATTTCCACATATGATCCCAACTCATCAGTTCTCTGTTTATTTGCATTGTTTCTGCTCAGAAACCCAATCTCTTTCCTAAAACTCGTCTCTGTCACATAGAATTCCTAAGATAGGTATTGTCTACTTTTCACACAGCACAAGAATAATTTTTAAGTGTTGGATCACTTAAAAATGTGTTTTAAGGAATAAAGAAAACCAAGAAATCTACTAAAAGGCATATTGGCATGGATCCTTGCACTGCTTAAATAATTCTTGATTTGGGCGTATCAAGGTAGGCCAAACCCATGATAGGATTCCTTGGAGAAACTGAGCCCTTTTCAAGTGATTTTTCTTTTGCTAGCATGCGGTTTAGACTGACATAATGTTGGGCCAGAGGGTCTGCAAACAAGCTATATCCCCAAGTCTGCCATGGAGTTATCTAACTTGCAAGACGTTCGTAGGACTGACTTCATATCCCAAGACTACTCTGACCCAGAAATAATGAGTGTCAACTTTTCTGATCTATTGCAAACCAGAGTGGATAACTGTGGTCTGTCCAAGACTCTTTGGAAGTGTCCTGATTCTGACACTCTCTTGGAAATAAACCATCTTTCAGGAATTGGGGTAGTAGGCATGGAGGAGGGGCTGGGGGAGTACTACAAGGAACAAAGAAAGTTTTTCACTAGCTAGCTGATTTGATGTTAAATACTGGGTTTAGGCGAGGATACTTGACTCAAATTTTGTTGGAGAAAAGTTGTTTTGAATATATATTCTATAGCAAAGGACCTGATAAATATGGTTGTTTTCACACATCTTTCATTTGTTCCTATGTTCTACCTTGTGGCATTTAAATACCTTTCTAATGTTTTGGAAGGCACTTATTGAAGCTAAATTGCTTTTGAGACGGTTAGGCATACATTACTTGCTTTGCTTACTGCAAAATATACAAATTCCTTCCAAAGATCTTTCACTCTGAGGCTTAAAAGTCAAAGTTTGAAAGCTCTTTTGTTTGAAAAAGGGTCAAAAATAATTAAGTTCATTCCCTTCCTGGGGCTTAAGCCAAATTCCTGGGGATTAAGCCTAGGGTTGTTGTTCAGAGTAATGAGAGAAAAGGCAAACTTTTCTCCCTTCCCCCACTTCCTGCTCTGTTTCTCTGTTGACTGACCAACCCATGGGTGTAACCTTTCATCTTTATTCTGTCAGTTACCCAGACTTCTTTGTGTTTTTCCTTTGTAGCCCCATTTCCTGAACCCCGTGAGAAAAAAAAAGACTTCTTGAAATTTCTATCTAGCTCTCCTCTTCCCCTGTCTCCCCCCAAGTCGATTGTCATCAGTCCCTCCCATACAGACACACACTTTATCAAAGGAAAGCTTAGGGTTACGTTTTCAAACTATAGTGGAAGAAACCCTAGGAGACTCAAACAGTAGTCCAACTAAATTCAAAATTTAAGACAAATTAAAATTTTAAATTTCTCATTTAATTTAAAGCCAATTAAAAATTTTAATAATCAACACCAGACTTCTTTGTTAACTACTGCAAATTAGTTAATTAATCAGTGATTTCTTAGGTCCTCTTACACATTTGTTAAAGAATCCAGGCCTTTGAAAATATCTTTTGGGAGAGTCTGGAGATTGTTGTTAGCAAGGCTCCTGGAAAAAAAAAAAGAGTAACGTAAACTGTAGTCATAAACAAAATACATGCATTTATGGCCCTCTTTGTATTATGGTATTAAACAAAATGAACAAGGAAACACTCCAAAATACCAGTAACAAAACAATGCCTGGGCATAGGTCTTTCTATTTATTTAGCACCGAATGGAGCATCACACTCTCAGACAACTAAAGGTTGTCTTCCCGTGTCTGCCGTCTCCATGCGCTGCCCCCTCACACTCAGGCCGCCCTTCTCCTCCTTCCCTCCCCCAACTGGCTCCAGGAGCAGCTCAACCACCAGCTCTTAGAACCCACAGCTCTCAAACTTGGAGGCCTGTCTAACTACTCCCACTCCAGCACACTCTTTTTTCCTGTTCTTTTTCTACGTGTTTTTCCTTTTTAGCTCCATTCATTCATCCCTCCTTAGAAAATAGCTTCCTCATAAATATCCATCTATCCAATGATCCATTCATCCTGTTTGATCATTTCCTTTTTTCCCTTCTTCCAGTTCTTGCCCTATTATCACAGGAATTGTTTTCTCCTTCTCTATTTGTTCTTTCACGTATTGCTAAAATGATTCTGATTCTAGTCAAGAGTAATGAGCAGGAAACAGTCCTGATAGTATCAAGGAAAAGGTCATGTGTCCACACTGCAGAATTGTGCACGTAACCGGGAGCAGATACTGTATGACCGGGAAGGGTGACTAGGTACTGGTGATTTGTCTTTCATCAGTACTATACATATACTTGCATTTCCCAGATGGCTCAGTGGGTAAAGAACCCACCTGCCAATGCAGGAGACTCAGGTTCAATCCCTGGGTCGGGAAGATCCCCTGGAGGAGGGCATGGCAACCCACTCTAGTATTCTTGCCTGAAGAATCCCATGGACAGAGGAGCCTGTCGGGCTACAGTTTATAGGGTCACAGAGTTGAACTGAAGCGACTGAACATGCATACATACGTATACATGTTGTATACTTAGAAGCAGTTTTAATTTTCACAATAAAAATGGAAAATTAAAACAAAGGAGCCTATGCTGTCAGCCTCCAAAGCTCTTGAAAATTCTCTCAAATTCATCTTAAAACACTCTCAGAAGTCTTCTGTTTCTATGTCTTCTAATTAGTACTGGATTTCTCAAGTGCATTAAGGACACTTAAAACCTATTTTTAAGTTAATTATGTTGTTTTTCTGAGTTTTGGAAATTACCACTAGACTAGATTAGAAAACTTTTTCAATGAACCTTGGCACAGAAGAAAGGGAACTGAATCAGAAGGTTTCGGTCTCAGTGACAGTCCATTTTGTGATGAAGGGCATAGCTTTGGAGTCATTCTGAGCTGTTTGAATCCTGACTCCACTATTTACTGGCTGTGTGACTTTGGTTATATACCTTCTCTGCAACTCAGTTTTTTTCATTTTTAAGTGGAGGTATAATACCTCATAAGAGTGTTTTTAAAAATGCAGTAACTCAGGATGGTAGCTGGTATGTGGACTGCTTTCAATAAAGGGCATTTGGGAGGAGGGGACTGGAAGGAGAAGGGCTTTCGTGTGATCATTGCCCAAAAACATCATTTAGAAAACTGACCATACAAGTGAACTGCTGTGATTGTCTACCTACATACTATTAAGAAAATGCTGCTAAAGAAGATTTTGCAAGAGAACATCTCCACAATTCCTTTTACTGACTGGTGGTTGAATGAAGAAATTTCTTGGTGTCTTGGACCAGTCTAGAGTCACTCTCAAGTTATGCATCTCAATATATTTGCTGGCACAATTGTGTCCTACAGTCCTTATGCTAACTTCTCCTAAGTGGATGTCCCTCTCCCAGACACCAGCACAAAGTAAACTGGCTGCAGGATGCATGCTTGGAGTAGGCTGGGTTTTAGAACAGTGGGAGGGAAATGATAAAACAGTCTAGTCCTGAATTACTGCAGCCATTAAGTTTACCAAGGAAGAGACACCTGTTTTCCTTGCTGCCCAATGCAGTTCTTTGAAAGAGCCGGTGAACTGAGAGTTCCACTTTCTCCCTGAAGAATAAAGCTGTAGACCTCACATAGCCAGGGTGTTAACAATGAACTTCATAGATACAGAGAACAAATTGGTGCCTGCTGGAGGTGAGGTTAAGGGGTGGGAGAAATGGGTGAACTGCATTTTGTTTGTTTTGGTCTAAAAAAAAAAGATTTTAAAATTCCAAAATTAAAAAAAAGAAAGAGTCAATGCGCTTCACTACAGGTTTTATTAAGGGGTAAGAATGCACTGTATCTGGGTAGCTGATGAGGGGTAGAATTGGTTGGGAGTGGAGTGAAGACAGGGAAGTGAGACATTTCACTGATGTTAATTGTTTTCTAGGATTACTCCGCATCGAGTACTGGAAGGATGTTTGTCTTATCACTGTATCCCCAGTGCCTGACATAATGTAAGTCCTCAATAGCTGCTTTTAAATGAATAAATGATTGAATGAATGAGTGGATGAATGGGACAGGCTTGAATGGATAAGAGAAAGGGCACCAATCGAGACAGAAAAAAGGGCAGAGAATGCGTCTCAGGCCCCATACACCAAGACACTGAGTTAGGGAGAAACTGCAAAGCCCTGTGAATTACCATTGCCTTACCCTGACATCACGTGCTCCTGATGCTCACAAAGTTCCCTCCCTCCTCTGAGCCTGGGATCCTAGTTCCTGGCCAGGGTTCAAACCCTGCTGTGAAAGGGCCAAGTCCTCACCTCTGGACCGCCAGGGAATTCCCTAGGAGGCTTCCTTTAATTTTTTTTTTTTAACTTGGCTGCACCAGGCCTTAGTTGCACCATCAGGGGTCATTTAATTACAGCATGTGAACACTTATTTGTGACATGTGGGACTTAGTTTCCCAACCAGGAACTGAACCCAGACTCTACACTGGAAGCTTGGCCTCTTAGCCGCTGGACCACCAGGAAAGTTCTCCTAGGAGGGTTTTTGAAAGTGTGTCTGCAACTAAGCTCCATTCTCTAGGCCCTGATTCAGAATCTACCTAAGAAACATCCTTTAAAATACCTGGGAAACTGTCCAACTGAACACCTAGCTGCCTTGAGACTGGCTGAGAAGGGTCAAGCATTCTTAATGGCAGGCAGGCTTTCCTTCCCAATGGAAATGATGACCATTCCCTCCACTTTGGGCTTCCCTGGTGGTTCAGCTGGTAAAGAATAAACCTGCAATGCAGGAGACCTGGGTTCAATCCCTGGGTTAGGAAGATCCCCTGGAGAAGGGAATGGCTACTCACTTCAGTATTCTGGCCTGGAGAATCCCATGGACTGTTTAGCCCATAGGGTTGCAAAGAGTTGCACACACGACTGAGTGACTTTCACTTTCACTCCACTTTGGTGTTTTCATGGTTTACCTGAGAAAACCTCTAATTATGGAGCATGGAACCTACTGGAAAGTCTTCTTGCTAAGGCAGACCAGACTGGCTCAGACAGCACGTTTGTTTCAGTGCCACTGGGCTCTGCTGCTAAGAAAGCTTCGCCCACGGCCATCTGGGGTGCTCCCAGCCTCCCTGCAGTGCAGATTCTCAGCTTGAGTTAGTGTCTCACTGAATTTGCAGTACTTCAAGTGCAGTTATTTTAATTTCATACAAAATGTTTAAAGGGGATAAATACACTGCAGCATTTGGAGTCCTGATCCAGAATCAGTAGAGGTTAGGCGGCAAGGCTTAGTTTTTTCCTACATGATGGTGTTTGCTGCATACCATGCTCTGTTCTAGGTACTTTACGTAGAGTAACTGGTCTAATCTCCTGTCAGTCTTAGAATCTAGGTGTTCCTAAGTATCTTATTATTTTCCACCCCTATTTTTACAGATGACTGTTATCACTTCTGTTTTACACAAAAGAAATTGGAAGCACCAGGAAGCTTAGTGACCTGCCTGATGTCCCAGAGCTATTAATGGGTAAAGCCTGGCTTTGAACACACACAGTCTGATAGCAGAGACAACCTCCTCAGCCACTATATCCCACTGCCCTCTATACATGCTTGTCATTGTGAAGGCTTAAGTGAGGACATCCTGTCTGATTAACTGGGGACACATGGATGCCCTGAGTTTGGGGACTGCATATATATCTTTTGTACCTCCGCATTGCAGAACAACCAGTAGGTGCTTCATGACACGTATAGATCGATGATAATTTCCCCCAAATGTTTTTATACATACATGCAAACAATCCTGCCTCCACTGGACCTTAGCCACCATGACACTTATGTGATGCCCAAGGGAATCATTACTAAAACATTGTGGGTGTTAACAGAAACCAATACAAAATGTTTAAAAATTTTGTCATCATTGACCATAAACTATTTTTTAATTCATTTTCCCCCTGACTTCAGAAGTAATACACGGTTATCAGGAAAATTCAAACCTTTCTGAAATATATGAACTATTCAAACACTTAAGTTAATCATGTATACTATTAAGACAGTCATTTAGAATAATCAAGAGAGGCTCTCGGAATTTGACAGGATTTGTAAGGACTTAAATATAAGGAATTCCCTTTTGGGGAGGGGTTGGTCTGATGGAGAGGGGAGTCTGTATAGTAAATTTTAAGTTATCTAAAAATGTCTCTTTAGAAGGCAAATCTACTGAGACAGATGTATAAGAAGGTGAGGTAAGTTCATTTCTTCTTTAGGAATGAACTGAATTTATATCAGTGCTCCCAAGTTCCCTTGGAGCAGCTTTAATGTTAAGCCAGAGTGGGAACTAGTTGGATCTAAAAGTGTATGTCTACTATTGTATATACTACAAAAGTACATACGTATTCTACATACCATTGAGAGTATGTTACGTGGCAGCCTGGACGGAATAAGAGTTTGGGGAAGAATGGATATATGTATAGGTATGGCTGAGACTTGTTGCTGTCCACCTGGAACTATCACAACATTGTTAATCAGCTATACTCCAATACAAAATATTTATTTTTTAAAAAGCTAGCAAAAAAAAGTATGTGTCTAATTCCAACTAATTGCATTTGGAGACCAAGAGTGAGGGTAGGGCTCCTGTCTTCAGGATCTTCTCTTCCTTCCCCATTTGTGTTTGCTTCTCAGATCATGTCCTGTGCAAGGACCTAGCCATCCGTAAAGCTCTCTGGTCCTTCTATAATTGACATGGTGGAGACGGCACTAGAGGTCTCATTAAAGATCTTGGAAAACTTCTGGCTTTTACCACTACTCACTGGGGAGCAGCTTAAACTCAGTGCACACCTCTGAATTCTCATTTGCCAATAGGGATAGTGTCCGCCCTGTTTCTTTTTTTTTTAATTTATTTTTAATTGGAGGAAAATTGCTTTACAATGTTGTGATGATTTATGCCATACAACAATGCAAATAAGTCATAATTATATGTAAATCACCTCCCTCTCAAGCCTCCCTCCCCTCCCACCTTCTCACCCTTCTAGATTATTACAGAGCACCTGGCTGGGCTCCCTGTGTTATATAGAGACTTCTCACCGGCTATCCGCTTTACACATGTTAGTGTATATATGTCTATGCTACTTTCTCCATAACCCTCCACCTTATCTCTTTCATAAGGTCATCAAGAGACTGTAATGAGGTCTAGAATATGAAAAGCTTTGTAAACTCCTCCTGTGGGTTAGAGGGCAGGCTGATAATTATTTGCTACTTGAATGATTGCCTTTAATTGAGAAGAATTGGTCTGAGGAGGAGAAAAGTGCACTTTGAAACCTAAAATCTTAAAAAGAAAATCAATGGCTCAAAGAAATGCCAAATGTTTGTATAAGTGGTTAATAATGGAAAATGAACTTGATGTGCTGAACAGTCAGAGTGACATTAGGGCTTTAAATCTTCCCTATCTCTTTTTGAAAGGAAAAAAAAGTAAGGAGAAAAGAAAAAAGGAAGGAAGGAAGTACCCCTGGAAGAACAGCATAATTAGAAAGGAGGACATGATGTGGGGACTAGGCACTCAGTGAGAAAATATTTGTTTGTCTAATTCCTCTTGCTAGACTGAGCTCTTCCAGGTTGGAGCTGGATTTTCTTCATTTTTGTGTGGCACATCCTAGAGACTATTTAGGATGAACCATATGGCAATGCCATTTTTGTAGCTCAAAAACAGTCTCTTATTGGCACAGTCACTGAATCAACCTAACTATTTGATAAAAATGCAAGAAATCTAAGGGTCATATTCAATCAACTTTAACCTGTTCCCTCCTAACACCTCCCTCCTACCTCCAGCACCTGGTCCCGCATTATTTAAGTGGGACTTCCCTTTTGTTGTCTGATCCTTAAGATTCATGCCTCTTTCTTTGAGGGCTGCATTATGCTTTCCCTTGAGCCTGAAAATTTCTAGACATAAGTACATGCTGTACCAATGCCTCCTTCTTATATTCTTCACACTTCTAAAGAAGGGGCCTCATAATGACCCAAATTTATATTTCCATTTCATTTGATGGACATAGTGAGCTCTAGTCAAACAAAATGGATGTTCTTCGCCAGAGTGTTGTATAAATTTTTTTCTTCCTCCCTTTCCTGCCTTCCTTAACCTTCCTCTCCTTTTCCCTTCCTTTTTCTCTCTTTCAGCCTTCCCTCCCATTCTTTCCATTCTTCCCTCCAGATGAGGTAGGCCTTTAGGCTGGAGAGAAGACACACTTGAGTGAACTAAGGGTCATAGCAAGGCTCTGTCCAGGTTTCCAGAGAGAACCGTGGGGTCTTAGGTTCTTCCTTCAGCCCCTCGTGATGCTCAGCCATTAATCACAGGCCATGTTGAATGGATTTATGTGAGTCAAGTAGATCTCAGGTTGAAGTCATGAGCTTCCATTTATCTGTTTTAGTCTGAAATATCAGGCTTGGTGGCGTTTGGCTCTATAATCAAATAGCACAGCATTCCCACCATGCACAGCCAATTTTGCAGCACTTACAACACTGATGTGAAAAGCAGTGTTGCTGTTTATTTTATAGATAATATTTTCCTCATCCTTTTATAATGACTATATACAGAAGCCTTGAAAGGTGTAGTGATTTTGTAAAATACATAGGGCCATCAGTTCCCTGTTGCTGCAAATCCAAGTAACAGTAGAGATAGGAACTAGTAGAGACAGCATGAGACCATGTGGACACCCTAGAATAAAGACTCAAAGGGCAGGCATTTTTACCTGCTTCGTTACCTGGTACCTCCTGGGGTCTAGAACAGAGCTAGAAATGAGCTACTGTAAGGCAACAGGTTAAAATGGACAGAATGACTGTGATGCTTAGATGGCTTGCCTCTTTATCTAACACTAATGAGATACACATTAGGAACTTGAGAAATAGTTGTTGAATGGATGAGTAGCCACGGCAGTTCAGCTACGGAGTTGATGTTATCATAATTCCCTAACTAGTCAGTTTACTTGTCATATATCCCCTCCAAGCTTCTGTTTCCTCATTTCTAAAGTGGGGGTTAAAAAATAAAATGGGGGTTATTGTGCCTACCTGGCAGGATTGTTGAGATAATTAAATGAAAATGCATGTAAAGAGTACTGACCATTGTAGTAGTAGACACACAACAAATGTTGGTGCTGTTTCTTCCCATGTCCTTCTGTTTTCATTAAAAATACATGTGTGTGTGGGGGGGGGGGGTGTAGTTGAAAGTAAGAGAGATGAGTTATTCAGTTCATATTAGGTTTCTCAGGCACAGCACTGTACCATTCTAAGCTGGTGAAAGGCTCTCCTATGCATTGCAGAATGTTCAGCAGCACTGCTATTCTCCACTCACTAAATCCCAGTTACATCCCTAGTTGTGATGACCAAACATGTCTCCGTTCCCTGGAAGGTAAAATTATTTCCTGTTCAGAACAATTGATGGAGCTCTAATCACCCACTGAATAATTAAATATTTTACTCATAAAAAAGTCGTTCAGGTGCTGTGTAGATGTGGCCTGTGGTTCTAGCATATGTTTAAATGTATATGAAATCAGGGCTTATACAGAAAAAGAGAAACAGCAAAAACTATATAGTCAATTCATGAAGTTAAGTAACGATGCAGTTAATAAGAACATTATTTCATTCACATAATTTCCTTGCATTAGGATATTTTCCTATTTATTGTTGGTTGGGCTAATATTAATAGGAATGGGTTTCCTGGACACACTGGCTGAAGACAGGGAGAAAAGGCAAGTGTGCATGGAGAGAAATCATTTGGGTTTCTTAAATTTTCATAGATACCCGTAAAGTAGGTTGTCTATGATAAACATTAACCACAGATTATCAAACTGCATTGTCCATTGGCAAGCTTAAAATGTAATAGCAACGTTCATACTTACAGGTGAATTAAAGATTTTAGTCCTCGGAAAGTATGTCTTGAAATGGACTTGATGTTGTTGTTTTCTATGAATCTGCAATAGGTTATAATATTTTTGGTCAAACAGCTGTAGGAACCTCAGAGCCCTTGTCCTGTATCATTACGTTAAAAAAAAAAAAAAAAAGGTTATTTTACTTACAAATACTCTAGATGGGGGAGACCAATGAAAGCATCATCACTGATCACATCAAAGGAGTTCGATGTGAATAACCTGCCCAGAAAAAGTACACAGTGAAAATGGTTGAACTGACAGATTGTCAATCTTTGCTGCTTTTATCTCTCAGAGAAATGAGTGGGAGTAGTGCACAGAAAAATGTCTGGATGTCTGCCTTTTACAGTGTTATTTATTCAGGTAATTTTTGTAGCTTTTTTTAACCATCAATTATCTCATCAAACGCTCAATGAGGGGGTGCCTTGTACCCCACTCCTCATAGGGATGAGTGTCACATGCCCTGGGTAACATTTTGGGACACAATCAGGCAAGTATGACAGTCAAAGCAGCCAAATCAACATGTTGCAGGTTTCCATGACAAAGACACTAGCAGAATCTTTCCCTCCTGCTCTGAAACTTCTGGAACATTCTGACCAGCCCAAATAGTGGTATCATAGTCACTAACCTGACAGACCTAGGAAACTAGCTCCATGTCTAGTTGTGCATGTTATTCACCGTAGGTAAGCCATTGACACTGAAAGTAGAGCAGGCTGAAGATGGGAAACAATGAGGCTTAGGAAGAGTCTCAGACCCATTTTATTTCTAAGTAGTTAAAAAAGAACACTTTTACTTGGACAAATTTATTTGCAATTTCATTATCCACAGGAATTTGGTTTTGAAATAACTGATGAAAAGAAACATTAATCAGCAGTCCCCACATCCTGCGTAATTCCTCGAAGAATTTCTTTTTTTTTTTTTCTGAATCAGAGGCTTAACAGAGGTGATTACAAGCCAAATAATACAAAGTTATCTGTTTAGAATGAGTATTAATTTATGGAATTCATCAGATAAAGTGTTGACATAAACTGAAAATAAAGTTTTACATGTACTGATGACAACTTATAATGGGTTCAAGTGACATTCAGGCTATATGTTAAGGTTCTTATATGGGGAAACCTCATTTTTCACTTGTAACTAATGCCCAAAATGTGGCCACGATCATGGGACAGGTGGGAGGTTTGACAATTCATGTCTTATACATACTGTTTAATTGCACTATGCTAAGTCCAGTATTCTCTGTTAGCAAACTTCTTGACTTTTACTTTTGAGGTGTAGGGTTAAAAATAGCTGCACTAACCAACTTAATGACTTACCCTCTCTGAACCTGTTAACCAAAGGGATTAAAACTATGAGATCTCACCTTCTGAACAGTTGTAAATAACTTATTTGACATCTGAGATTGCTTAAAAATGATGAGAGAAAGGGATAACAGTGGGTTAGAGACGAATTGAGCACAAAGAGGTCATTTTTGAAGCTGGAAGCTGATTTTTACTATTATTTCTACTTTTATATATGTTTGAAATTTTCTGTAAAAATGGGGAGGGAGAGAAAGTAAACCAAATAAAACCAGATGATGTCTTGCATTTCTTTCTAAGCTATAATCCCTGGAATGATGTTGGATTCTCTTCTATCCCTTCTCCTTCCAACATTACAGCTTTACTCTCAAATGATTCGCTAGACTGTGAAGTCAACATTATCGAATAAGTCATACATATTAGATGCCAGGTTATTCAAAAAATTCAAATTTTTATTATTTCAGTCACAACTTTGGCAATTGTCTCTTCTTATGTCATGGTTCTGGGAAACAAGAAGATTGCTCAGCCTTACTCCAAGGTAAGCTACCATCCAAAGTCTTCCTTAGGTTACAGATTTTTGTTTCAGTCTGTATCAGTTCAGTTAAGTTGCTCAGTTGTGTCTGACTCTGCGACCCCATGGACTGCAGCACACCGGGCTTGCCTGTCCATCACCATCTCTGAGTTGCTCAAACTCATGTCTATTGAGTCCGGTGATGCCATCCAACCGTCTCATCCTCTGTCATCCCCTTCTACTCCTTCCTTTAATCTTTCCCAGCATCAGAGTCTTTTCAGATGAGTCAGTTCTTTGCATCAGGCGGCCTAAGTGTTGGAGTTTCAGCTTCAGCATCAGTCTTTCCAATGAATATTCAGGACTGATTTCCTTTAGGATGGACTGGTTGGATCTCCTTGCAATCCAAGGGACTCTCGAGAGTCTTCCCCAACATCACAGTTCAAAAGCATCAATTCTTCAGTGTTCAGCTTTCTTTATTCTTTTATTTTTTAATTCTTTGTTCTTTTTATTTAATTTTTTGATTTTTAAAAATTTTAAAATTTTATTTATTAAATTTTTATTAAATTCTTTTTAATTTATTAAATTTAATAAAATTTATTTATTTTTAATTCTTTATTCTTTATTTCTTTATTTATTCTGTCTAGGCAGCATCAAGAAGGGGGAGGATGAAAATAAGGCAGAAATAGATACAGAGAAATACCTCCCATGTTCACTGGCTTGAAAACTGTCCCAGGGACTTCAAAATCACTCACTTCAAGTCACTGCAAGAAATGACTTCTAACACTCATTCTCCTTAAGTTGAATCAGATGCAAAACAGGATACGATATGCATATAAGTAGGCAGAATTAGCCCACACATGTCAGGGAAATAAAATAGGGTTTTTGCTAAAATTTTTATCTGCTCATTCATTGCTTATCCCTAGCACCTGTAATAGTGCCTCTCCCATAGTGCTGTTGCTGTGACACTGAATAAATATTTGTTAAAGAGGAATTTACTTTACATTAAATTCTGGTCATTACTATATTACTAGATTTAATGTTCCTTATAGCAAGGACTTAGCCTTATTGATTTTTGTGTCCTCAGTCCTGAGCACAGTTCCTGGCTATGCTGTTTTCTGAACTAGTTTTTAAAGATCAAAACTTCTGGCTAAAAGTACAACGATATGCGAAAATGCGGATGAATCTCATAAACCTAAATCCAGGGAAAGAAGCCAAAATGCAATAAAGTACATCCTTTATAATTGCTCTTATATAAAGAAGAAAGCCAGCAAAACTAATCTATGCTGGCAGAAGTCAAGATAACATTTACATCTTGGAGATGAGAAGAGGGCACAGAGGAAGTCTTTGGGGTAATGATGACCTGGGTGCTGGTTACAAGAGTGTTCACTTTATAAAAAGTCATGAGGAAAGGGGTAGGGGTGATAAAGAGGCAGAGCATAGAGGAGTTTTAGGGCAATGAATATATTCTGTATGATACCATAATGATGGATACATGTCTCTATACATTTTCCTGAACTCATAGGATACACAGTACCAAGACTGAACCCTAATGTAGACTCTGGCTGATCTAGTAAGTTCATCAGTTGTAACAGAGATACTCCCATGGTGGAAGATGTGGGGGATAGGGGATGTGTCAGGGTAGGGAGTCTATGGGAAATTCTGTGCCTTCTCTTCTATTTTGCTGTGAACCTAAAACTGCTCTAAAAAATTAAGTCTTAATTTAAACTCTCAAGATGTACACTTAGGATATGCACACTTAAAAAAAAAAGGATATGCACACTTTTCTTTATGTAAATTTTATTTTAATAAAAACTTTTCTTATAAAAGCTAAAACAAATCCCTCTGGCTAAGATAATATTGAATATCTTAGTCCCTGGATTCTAAATTCAATTGTAATTTTCTGTGGACAAGGATTCCATGGGCAAAGATTTGTAATGTATACATACATTCCAAACATAGTTGATCACACAGGCTATCCATTTTATTATCCTGTGTATGCTACTGCTAAGTCACTTCAATCGTGTCCGACTCTGTGCAACCCCATAGACGACAGCCCACCAGGTTCCCCTGTCCCTGAGATTCTCCAGGCAAGAATACTGGAGTGGTTTGCCATTTCCTTCTCCAATGCATGAAAGTGAAAAATGAAAGTGAAAAATGAAAGTGAAGTTGCTAAGTCGTGTCCGACTCTTAGCAACCCCATGGACTGCAGCCTACCAGGCTCCTCCATCCATGGGATTTTCCAGGCAAGAGTACTGGAGTGGGGTGCCATTGCCTTCTCCGATCCTGAGTATACTTAAGACTTTAAAAGATCCTGTTCTATAAAGAGGGTAAATGCCCATCTTTAATTTTTATAGGTTCCTTTAGAAAGTTTGGTTTCAATATCATAATTTGTTATTGAGCCAGATATGTTAAAGAATCCTGTAGTCCTTGTTAAAGGAGACCATGTCACCCCACCTCATCTTGATGTACAACAGACCTGGGGCAGACTAGTGTGGCCATGTTTTATATCTCATGACTTCTATCCCTTGTCTTAAATTATTAGAACAAGAAGGACTCCTTTTCTCATGAAGAATAGCTGATCCTAAGGTCGGTCAGCATCCCATGGTCCAACTAGTCTGGTTCAAAAAGGTGAGTTGGGCTAAAGATGAATCCCTTCTTGAGAATTTGGAATCACAAACAGAGATGGAGCCAGCCAGCAGAGGAGCTGAAGGAGGAAAGATGCCTTAGGGTTGAGTCAGCTCCATAGCAGGAAAACTGTGTGCAGGGTGAACTCAGAAGAGAGTGGAATGTGGAGGAGATCTCATAAAGGGCTGTGTGTATGAGGCTGGATCAGGGAGATGCCCAGATCTGTGTTTGATCCTAGACCTGTGATTCTCAATCTTAGCTTCACTTGGAATCACCTGGAGAGCTTTATAAATACTGCTACCATGTTCTCACCCTCAAGGATTCTGGTTAATCTGGTTAAATTCTGTACCTGTGATGTGGCCTGAGCATGGGATGTTTAAAAACTCCCCAGGTGTCTCTCACACACAGCCAGGGCTGCATATGGTAAAGTTCTGGTCAGTTACAATAGCCTTCCTCTACCTGTGGCGACCAAGGGGACCTCTGCTCCTTGTAGCAGGTGTGGCTGGAACAGGAGCTCTGATACACAGAGATGCTGTAGATTGTCCCATGTCCCTAACTACAGGTAGCAAGAGTTCATAATACCGTGACTCAGATTTGACGACTGTCCTCACAATTGCAGCACATGGAGGAGTGGGTGGGGATCAATGTATTGTCTAAACAAACTCCTTACCCTGAGCTCCAAATCAGAGACCTCACCCCCTAGATTTGCCAAACAGCCATCCTGTGGGTTTGTACAGGGATAATGTAGAATGTGTCCTCTGTCCCTGGGCCTGTGGGAACATTTGAGG